ATATGTATGTATTGAATGTGTATATGAATTTTATCTTATGCCAGATCACTGACGTCGGGTTCATTGTCTTTAAAAATAATTTACTGGTTAATTCGACCAATATCTTCGCAAACTTTCATTTTCGCCTTTCCAAGTGGTATATAACTCATGGTAACCTACAACGTCACGACCGACAACCATGGAAGGTTAACACGACAGGGCAAGGGGTTCATTGCTTTATTATAAAACTTAAATTAATTATACTGAATAATACATTATTAGACACTGAAATAAAGCTGTTGGCGTGTTATTAAGTAGTTAATTTATTTAAGATTGTAAATTAAGTTAGCATTATCATGTACTCGAAGCTTGGCTACGGCTTGGCACGCTGGTTTATACTTTAATATTATCACCGTGCAATTTATTATGATATTTGTAGTTGCTGAGTATAACTTGCTGCCATAAAACAGACCTCTAAGAAGCTAATAGTTTAATCCAATGTAATTTACTCACAAGTATCAGTTTGGCCGAATGTAGCTGTCTCTTATAAATTCAGAGCATTTAAATTGTATTGACTTTATTGAGCTCAAATATAATTGAAAGAGAGAAGTACATGCCCGATGGAGCAATTTTGATAATATCTATATCCAGCCGTGGGTTTTTAATGGACTGTTGGCTTTTGATAGTTAATTTAAATCGTTTAGAATTTTATTTTATAAAAACCTAAAAGTTCCTTTTGCTAAATCGTGACGGCGTAGTAGTATCCACATCTGCCTCATGGGTGTCGTTGGAGGTACTAGAATATTTCAATTAATCGCGGTGTACCAGTTTGTTTAAAAACCAGACCGATGATGGGCGCAGCGACTAGATGCGAGACGTTTGATAAATAGTGCGATCGGCAAGCCGCCTGCGTAGCGTAGAACTATAGTGAAACCTGTTAAACTCTAAGGCCATGTTCAGTCGTGGACATTTAGATTTTGACGAAGAAGAAGCTTTTAAAATTGTAGAAATACTTAGTATAAATTGTTAACATGAATATACAGATTTGATTACCACAGTACAATAATAATAAAATATATTACTTTCTCTTTGCTAAGCATTTATAAAGTTATCGTACAATAATAATAACATAATATGTCTGTCTCCCTAAGCTACGTCATAATTGTCGTAAGTGAATAGTTTAATCAGCAGTGAAACTCGAAATTGCGTGCTCGTTGCTTGCAATTACAGCAAAGTGCACTCAGCCCACGTAGAGCGCGGTTCGCAGCTTTCGTCGTCGTGTCGAGGTGATAAATGGGCAATTTAGCGTCCTCGTGAGATCCCTTGTGGTCCGCTAACACCACGATTGGGCGAGGAGAACACCATCTCGTGACTATTTAATCGCTTTACTAATGGAGATGAGCCTGTGTTTATATATCAGTCCACGCCTAAATACGTCGGTGTTTTCATTAAATTAGCGAAACAACAATAAAATTTAAAAACTAAAATTCTTTTATAATGCACTACACTTATAATATTATTCATTCACTGTGGAAATCATAGTTTACTTAACAACATAAAAGTGTTATTCATGGTGAAGTGAAGTGAGAGACTCCTGATACATACTCTCTGGTGGATTAGTGAGTACTATTTACATATATAATATATGTTGATTACTTATATATATTATACATATAATATCTTATGGGCTATAGTGATCGTTCATGTGTTATTTGGCGCCCTTTACTAAAATTAAAAAATGATCACCACAATCGCTAAAGTTTTTAGAATGGAATAAAATTCAAGTGCATCTACACACGTAAAATTTGTTCATATTATGTATATTTCTTAATCCGCAGTCGTGTAGCCTTACAAAAGCGGAAGAAAGGGAATGCGAACGGTAAGCTTAAATCTCACCTGACGCAAGATTAGGGGTTGGTTCTTGTCACTTGATACGTTTGTATACAGACTGGTGTAGTGGGGCTTCCTCAATGCTCAACGAAGGGATCATATAAGGTGACATGTGTTGCTTTTGGTTTAAAATCTTTATTTCTTTTTGTATGTTCCTTTTTCCCTGTACCGATTATTCTAAAAGTAGTAATACTTTGTATAAGTTGTGTTTAAAATTTAAGTACATTATTACGTCACAGAAATTGTCTAGATAGAAATGATTGACAAGGTATTTATTTAGTTATAAATAAATACCTTATTTAGTTAGCTTAATTAATATTGTGACGTAAATCGTTCTTTACCCTAGGCCAGTTTTGATTGGCTGATACGACAGCAATGCAACATATTATGCTCAGCATAAAGATTAAATAGAGGAGATATCCTCATTATTCTATGCGACGCGGCAACGATACGACGCGTCCGCATTGCAACAGGAAATTTATATCGTATGGTACGTTAACCGAACATCTCTCAAAATATTTCTTTGCAGCTTGTGGTATTAGGTAGTCGTCTATCAAGATCTATCTTAAGGTCTATCTTTTTATCTATGGGCTGCCTTTAATATAATACACTTGACGACGATATTGTTACAAATAATGAAAATAATGTTTCGCATGCGTTGAATGATAAATTGATCCAAATAATGTCGGCCTACCAATCGGAAAACAGCCTTAATATCGACCACGATTTTTTTATCTCTAATCGGCATTGACACGTGCCATCAATTCATACGCAGCAAGAAAGAAACATAAAAATTTAAATACTCCCTACAACGCGAGAAGCTTATGGGCCACCCGTGGCAACTGTGGTAAGCTTCTCCCGTTATAGCGAGGAAGAACCTCTTATTAGCTTACCGACAAATATCTATTTTGTACGTGTTACGAGTATACTAATGACTAATATAATAGAACCTTTTGGTTTTCTGAAAAAATAAATTCAAAAATATTAAGGTACGTGTTTTCGTAAATGACAGATGTTATTCGTGAAATTTTCAGACTTGGCTCCTGTGACAGCCACAATCGAAAAAAAAGTCGGTGACAGAGCGTGGGTCGCAGTCGAGCGTGCGTAACGATCTATATAAGCTGATGATTGACCGCGTATTTTTGACCAGTGGGATGAACTGTCCGTCCCATATAGTTCAACATTTTTCTTCTCGTCGACTTTAAGAATAAATGATGTGATACAATAACAGTATGATACGTCTCCGTCATTGAATATTTCCTAACATAACAATTTTATATAGTTATCCAAAACAAAATTCAAAAGTCTTGAAAATCTAAAACGCTTTAATCATGTGTATGTATGTGAAGTGTGTTATCAGTGAAAATTATATGATACGCAATAAATGTTCGCTAATAGTTTGAACTTTAAATGTACTTCACACATCGGTCCTCGGTCGGACGTTATTACAATAATAATTGTGCTCCAGTATCCCGCAGCTGTAAATTTTATTAATGTTTTCACTTTTTTTTTGTTTTTCTAGCTATCTATCATATTAAAATTTACGATAGGATCTTTGGAAAGTATTAGTTCGTAATGTTACCATAAGGGTATATCTTCAATACATCCTGCAGTTCACTAGAAACACCAAGATAAGAACGTAAGCTTTTATGTTACCTAATAACAATTAATTCTTCAATTTGGTTTCAATAAATATACTGATAAAGGAAATGCAATAAAACAGATGACCTTTTCCGACAACTTAATAATTTCTCTGTCATTGGAATGAACGAGCTCGAAGATATTTTACGCGATAGCTCTGACCACGGTCTACCTTTCGCCTTAATGGACTATTTAAGTCGATTCTATACTAAATAACTGGTCATAAACAAAATCTGTTATTTTTTACTACTGCCCTCTGCTTACAGATTTTTGTTTTAAGGTAATTTATTTTTAGAATTTGAACTCGTAAGCTCGCAACATAAGCATCAAGGAATTCTTATTTCGTACAAATTTTTGCATGTTTCATTTGTCGTTGTCATTTCTACACTTTTTAACATATAATTAACAATAAATTACATGTCTGAGTATCCCGTTTGTGTCACATTTAGTTAATTTACGAGCTATGTTCGCAGAATAGTTATGACGTTCAGACACGTCGTTTATTGAAGAGTTGTCGCGTGGCTCACAATTCTGGTTTTGTCCTGCAGATTATTTCTGCTTCTGTGGGTGTTGTGTCGGAAGATTATCTAAAGAGACTTATGTATCCGCTCGTCGTGCCCATCGATATGGTGAAATGAATTGCATGTCGTGGGCACACACGATGATTGCTACGTCACTGCGAAGTTGAAAGCGAATTTATTATTATCGTCTCTTTTTCAGATAACGTTCGTATTTATCGTATTAGTAATCTTTATTTATGTGATAGCTGGTGTGTCTGTTAGTGATCGTACAACTTCTGAAAGTCTTGAACTATTGAGTTTATATTCACACAATTTTCTTTCAAGACGATTTTTCATAACTATTCTAGGATCTAACATGTGGCGCTGTGGTCGAGTTATCAACAAATTCTATATTTATGGAAATTATTGTAAATTACTCATATTCACAATATAATATATTCTTTTGATTTATTGCCAAGAAAGAAATTCACTAAATCCAGGACCCTCAAAAAGTCTGAAGTGAATTCGGAGTAAAACTCATCATGCATGTGACCGGAAAGTCTTTTTACATAGAGACACGATGTAGCTATATTATTTTTAAAGGATCTAAGCATTTTGGATGAAATATAGCCTAGATCACTCCTGGCATTGCTCTCCATCTGTTCGTCAAGTTTCATTACAATCAGTTCAGCCATTCCGAAGCTTAGCCTGGACGGGCAGACAGACAGACAGACAATTTTTTTAAAAGTAGTTATTCATGTCTTAATTTCATGCAGTTATTCTCTTCAGTCCTGATAAAGAAAGAAAGAAAAAGTGTGTGTATTCGTTAGTGTGTGTCAAGAATTCGAGCATGGCGTTTGCGTTATTTGCAATATAAGCAGAGCTCCGTCTATCTTTATTTTTTGGTCTGAGTATGTGTATGATATAGTATAATTGCCTTACATATTATGTTTTCTTCTTTCGTAGCCTCAACCTGTGAGCCAGGGTCCGCTGGCGCTACCGCCGCCGACGTCCGCACCCGCTCCGAGCTCAGCGCCGTGCGCCGCGCCGCGTACCATCGTCATCCAGCGCCCCGACGCGCGCCACGGTTTCGGATTCACTTTGCGCCACCTCGTCGTCTATCCCCCGGAGTCACTGCAGGTAAGACCAGCAATATATACCTTTTGAAAGTCGTCTTGAGTGATTGTCAATACGACACCAGGAATTTATAATCAATCTTCTAATTCTGAAAAGATCGTATTCAGCAATGGGTTGTTACTAGCTATGGGTCGCCTTGTGAATTTCTCGAATCGAGCTTAAAATATGTATTATAATTTTTTGTTAATAATTTATGTTTTGATTGCATATTTTTATATTCTCATCAAAATAATAATCTTGAAATGGTTTCGCATCATGAAATTTTACGTTCATGTATATAGTTGAGTTTTCAGTAAACTCCGTCCTAACCTTATTTCTCTTATTGCACGCATAAGATGTACCTTGAGTTATTTGCAATTTTTATTTTGCTGTCCATTGCGATCTATGACATTTTCCTTATTTTCCCTAAGCGACTATTATTAAACATTTCCTTTTCTACGTTGTAGAGCCAAGCTGCAGCTTGAAAACGTCCGCTTGACCTGAAAGCTCTCAAAGAATTCATTCATAACAGCCTATCAAAAAATTCCAGTGCTGAACATAAGCCTCCTCCAAACATCAACTCAAAGGGTAATTTTTTACCATGGTTGTCACGCTTGGCAGGTCGGTTGGTAACTGCAGTTTTTTTATTATTTTGAGATTTCAATACACGGCTTCCAGAATGCTGCGGTATTTCGTACTACTACACATTCTTTAGTTTTACGCTTATTCTTATAGCGAGTGTTTGTAAATTCCGCAGCAGAAATATTTCACACGTCTAACGGACAGGTATTAACGACCCTTTTCCGGTGCTCTAGTGAGAACACTTAGGCAATCAAGACTTCCTTTTCAACCCACAGCGTATAAACAAAGAATTGTTTAAAAATGCGCAAGCTGTAAATTTGAGAGCGCTGTTATTGCTAGTACACTTCGGATATTTGTTTTATATTTATAGCTGGATATTTCGTCAGAAACAAAGTTGACTTTAATCTAGGTTTCAAAATCGTTCAACAGGGTTCCTCTTTCTCCATAACTCTCTCAGAAGTGAGAGAAGGCCTATGTCCAAGAGTGGAACGCATGTACACTTTCTTCTTCTTTGGAGTTCTATTTGAGATTCTTCTTCCTCCAACGAGCTGGCCTTGTTATCTTGCTTCGACTTAGATTTAGTGAATACGCATATACTTTCGCAGCTTTGTTGTTGAGCACAGTGGTAAAACCATCGCACTTATAATGCTCTTTCCAATACCAGCTAGAGTTGCCAGAGTATTAAACAACACAAAGTCAAAAAGTCTAAGACAATTTTTACAGAGAATTCCGTGTCCAGGAGAGGGTACGCATTTTTGAAACCGTTCCTTCTTTAGTAGATTTTTACTTCTGTTACCGAGCCAGCGATCCGCGGGAATAAGAGAGAGAGAGAGAGAGAGAGAGAGAGGGAGGAAGTTCTTATTCTTATACATATAATTTTTGGTGTGAGTCAGGAGCTGTACGAGGATGCGCGGCACCTGGCCGTGGGCGCGGTGGGCGCGCCGATGGACACGATCTTCGTGAGGTCCGTGCGGCCGGGCGGGCCGGCGGCGGCGGCCGGGCTGCGGGCCGGCGACCGCGTGCTGGCCGTCAACGGCGAGCCGGTGGCGTGCGGCCGCGCGCGCGCGCCCTACGCTCGCGTCGTGCAGCTGGCGCAGCGCGAGCCGCGCACCTTGCGCCTAACCGTCGTGCCGCGCGACCACGATTTGCTGCAGAGGGTGAGTACTACTCCCTTAACCGTACAGAAATTCTTAGTGCAAATTCACATGGGGTTGAATAATTCCTTGCGCGTGCGCCCAATGCGCACGTTACGTGTAACTGTTCATTTTTTTTAATTTTACATTTAAATATGGTAGAACCACACTGCAACTGTGTTATGAATGCAGTTTGAGTGAGTTGGCTCGACCTGGGAAGCCAACACTTATCAAAGTAGCAGCGTAAAAAGTACCATATTGCTATTTTACGCAACATGTTTCCTTAGATGAGAATAAAGAATCTGTCACCCGTTTTACTGGTAACAAGTGGCATTGTATCTTTGTCGTCAAAGAGGCAACGCGTCTGCGTTTTAATTCTTAATGGAGTATAGATGTAGCCATGATGATAATGAATCATATCGTTTACTTACGAGATGAACTGTCTTCTCTTTTGTCATCTTTATTTCTACACAAACTTTTTTTCCCTATAAAAGCGTAACGGTGCCCTTCTCCTCCAGTACTTCAGCGAAGCCGCGTACAATCCAGAAACGAACCAGCGTCCAGAGATGCCGGCGCCCGCGAGCGAAGCGGAGCCGCAGCGCCGAGCGCGCGCCTCGCTGCCCGCGCCCGCACTCGCGCGCCGCGACGACCCCGAGTACGCGAGCGTCGCTTCACTGGCGCCCTCGCGGTACCTGGCCAATGCGCCGCACTACATGCTGCACGATGGGTGAGCCCTTTTACAAAGAAATACCCCTTTTTACAGCCGTCTTGAAAATAGAAGGAGACTTACAATTCGACTGTATGTTTTTTTTTTGTATATATATGTTACGCGATATCTTCGCCACGTGAACCGATTTTGTTGATTCCTTTTAAGTTGTATAGCTATACAACATAATTTAACTATTATAAGCCTATTTATACGTAGTAGAACCATGCTGAACCTATATTACGATTGTAACTCGAATACTTCGGGTCGACGGGGAAGGACCACGCTCTCATAGAATACCAGCGTGAAAGAGCAGCTTAATCCTACTGTGTTCCGTATGAGTGAACTGGAGAAATTTATCACTGGAAATGAGACATTCCAAATTAGTCCTCAGGGATGACAACGCATCTACATTTTGATTCTTAATAGAGAATTAATGTACATGTCTATGGGCCACTATATCTACTTATAATCATCTGACCGTGTGCTCGTTAGTCAACTATAATAAAAAAGCCACTTGGCTACTATCTCACTTGATGCTAAGTGGTGACGTAGCCGAAGTTGGTAAAGCGCACTCAGCTTAATAAAAACCTATTTACTATTGCCTTGAAGCCACTCTCATTCTAATGGGATGTAAAGGCAGATGCTCGCAAATTATACCACGTAGCTATTCCCGCTATAGATACAACAAAAGGTTATACTGAAACTAAGCCTAGCACGTTCAACTCCACATTTAGAACCCCTTGTTATTATTTTGTTCCAAGATACGATAATTCTTCACGGTACAAACATAAGGCATATTGTAATGCCCGTTTATATGTTCAGCTATAAGCTATTATGTTGGGGTGGTGTAAGCGAACCATCATTCCATTTCGCTTCGTAGGTATCGAAAATATACTTTATGAAATCCACGGTCTCATTGAGCTCTTTTTGATATCCTTAACTTTTCTGTAGGCAAATCTTCTATATAATATTTTGCGTACATAAGAAGTATGGTATCACTTCACACACAACCATTTTTTCTTCAACAAGTACCACTGTATATGTCATATCTTGAATGTAATCTTACGAATATACGAATATTCGTTTCAAATTTCAGCAGGAGGGAATCCGACACCTCACTGCCGTCGTCGGCGGCCGAGAGCAAAGATAGCCTCGGCTCCTTCGACTCTAATTCGACCCTAACCGGCCGCGAGATTGACGACTCGATCATCCTGTCCCGAATACGAAAGAGTCTCGAGCAGAAGGAAGCATTCTTGAGACGTCCGAGCCAACCGACCGGTTGGGTCACGCCGGACACCCCGCAACCGATCAAACAAAAGGAATTCTACGCGAGACCGCAAAAGTTACAGAAGCCAGCATGGCCCCCACCGCCTTCCTCACCGCCTCTTGCCGCTTCTCCACCCCCCTCACTTCTCACACAAACGCAGAGTCAAGAACAGACGTCAAAAAAGGAAGAATGTTCTGCGAGCGTGGATAGCGGAACGTATAGTGGCTACGGCGAAGTAAACGGAACAACTGACAAGAACAAACCAAAACAGGATAAAAGTCAATTTGTAACGACCTTGTCGAAAATACAAGAAACGGCACCGAGTATTCAGAGCACCAACGTCGGAACAGTACCTAATGGTGCTGCTTCTGAGACGAAGATCGAAAATAAAGAAGAGAGCTCGACCACAAATAACCAGGACAGCAGCAGGTTTGTTTATTATTTTCATTTGTTTGTAAAGCCTCGAGTCTTTAACTAGTGCGATTCAAAATTAAATTTAAAAAATAGGATTAAATATTTGCTTAGAAAAGTGGCATATTTGTAAATACAGCTGTTTTCCTAGAGTCACTAATTCCCGTATGACTCAACCCAAACTCCACCACGCGAAAATTTGACTAGTTTAAACTAGAGATTGTTTCTGAATAACGGCCTTAGTCTCTTCGATAAGATATAATTTTGGTCCTCTGATCAGATATCGAATTGGCAGTATCGATATCAGTAACCGACCGCAGAGAGCTCAATTTGTTATTATTTTTAATACTAGTATCGTATCCGGTGGTACATTAGACCCCGCCAATTTTAGACCTATTTCTGCACTGCCAAGACTTAGTAAAATTTTTGAATAAATTAAAATTTATGTAAATAATTTACTTCATAAAATCAATGACAAGGGTCGCTCGAATACTGATGCTGTATTTAAATAATAGAACGCAAGAAGTTGTCATTAATAGTATTAGCTCTTTCGGGTCTTTACGAACCCGCACGACTCTAATGATAATTGTAGCTGAATAAGAGTAATATAATTAAAGTCATGAACTGAGAAACATGTATCCCTTTTCATTCAACACCTTCCGACATTACAGGCGTGCCTCAGGGCTCAATTCTCGACCCCTTTTTATTTCTTGTATATATTAATGACTTATCTGACATAGTAGGGGATAACCATGATATAGTATTATTTGCTGATGACACTTCATTAACTTTCAAATTATAACGACAATTACTAAAATATGACTAAGTAAATTGATTTAATGTTAATAGTTTGCATTTAAAATGACACTAAAACTAAATGTATGAAATTCATGAGTCCCAAGTGTCAAACATTTAAATACTAACTTTAACTTTAAATTTAACTTTTAAATAGGGAGGAACTTAGTCCTGTCGATATCGCAATTTTTCTTGAAATCACACTAGATGCTAAGCTTTAATGGGGCCCCCATATATCAAAACTAATAAGCAGAATTAGTTCTGCAGCATTTGCTGTAAGAAAGATTAGAAATCTTACCAGTGTTGAAACAACTAGACTTTAACTATTTCCATATCATAATGTCGTATGGTATTTTGCTATGGGGACTCGCGACTGACACTAAAATTATATTTGTCATGGAGATAAGAAAGAGAGAGAAAAGAAATAATATTTAATCGCTGGGAAAAAATTACATTTGGGTCTCATTTTTAAACGATAACCATATTGTAAGCAAAAACGTTTCAAATAAAGCAAGTTTTTGCCAAATGAATGTCGCACGCTTCCATTGTGCTGGACAAATATGCAAGCAGCGGAAAAGAGAGCGCTAAGAGCCTTTTAAGGTTGGAAATCCTTGCCTTAAAGCAAAGATTTCTATGTATACTACTAGACGGGCACTACGGTACTATACTAATGTTAGAGACTCGTTACCCGCGGTGCAATAAAATGGGGAATGGGTTTTACCGTGCCAGGAAACTGACAGGTCAAGCAGCGCCTGTGGGCCGAGGGCGCTATCGAGGCGTGCCCGTGATTTTTTGAAGAGTGAGGCGTCAAATTGTAATTGCGTGCGCAGGTACCGTGGCGCGGAGCTGCAGCTGGTGACGGCTCGCACGCGGCAGCTGGAGGAGGCGCGCGGCGGCGAGCGGCGCACCGAGGTGGCGCGCAGCGAGCTGGCGCGTCTGTCCAGCGCGCGCCTCGAGCCCAGCGTGGCGCTGCGCCGCCGCGACTTCGAGAGCCGCGCCGCGCGCCGCACCGCGCGCTCGCTCGACGTGCACCCGCACACAGGTGACGTGACGCGCTCTACACACAACCGCACCGGCCGCACCGACTGTCCGCGCGCGCCTCGAGCCCAGCGTGGCGCTGCGCCGCCGCGACTTCGAGAGCCGCGCCGCGCGCCGCACCGCGCGCTCGCTCGACGTGCACCCGCACACAGGTGACGTGACGCGCTCTACACACAACCGCACCGGCCGCACCGACTGTCCGCGCGCGCCTCGAGCCCAGCGTGGCGCTGCGCCGCCGCGACTTCGAGAGCCGCGCCGCGCGCCGCACCGCGCGCTCGCTCGACGTGCACCCGCACACAGGTGACGTGACGCGCTCTACACACAACCGCACCGGCCGCACCGACTGTCCGCGCGCGCCTCGAGCCCAGCGTGGCGCTGCGCCGCCGCGACTTCGAGAGCCGCGCCGCGCGCCGCACCGCGCGCTCGCTCGACGTGCACCCGCACACAGGTGACGTGACGCGCTCTACACACAACCGCACCGGCCGCACCGACTGTCCGCGCGCGCCTCGAGCCCAGCGTGGCGCTGCGCCGCCGCGACTTCGAGAGCCGCGCCGCGCGCCGCACCGCGCGCTCGCTCGACGTGCACCCGCACACAGGTGACGTGACGCGCTCTACACACAACCGCACCGGCCGCACCGACTGTCCGCGCGCGCCTCGAGCCCAGCGTGGCGCTGCGCCGCCGCGACTTCGAGAGCCGCGCCGCGCGCCGCACCGCGCGCTCGCTCGACGTGCACCCGCACACAGGTGACGTGACGCGCTCTACACACAACCGCACCGGCCGCACCGACTGTCCGCGCGCGCCTCGAGCCCAGCGTGGCGCTGCGCCGCCGCGACTTCGAGAGCCGCGCCGCGCGCCGCACCGCGCGCTCGCTCGACGTGCACCCGCACACAGGTGACGTGACGCGCTCTACACACAACCGCACCGGCCGCACCGACTGTCCGCGCGCGCCTCGAGCCCAGCGTGGCGCTGCGCCGCCGCGACTTCGAGAGCCGCGCCGCGCGCCGCACCGCGCGCTCGCTCGACGTGCACCCGCACACAGGTGACGTGACGCGCTCTACACACAACCGCACCGGCCGCACCGACTGTCCGCGCGCGCCTCGAGCCCAGCGTGGCGCTGCGCCGCCGCGACTTCGAGAGCCGCGCCGCGCGCCGCACCGCGCGCTCGCTCGACGTGCACCCGCACACAGGTGACGTGACGCGCTCTACACACAACCGCACCGGCCGCACCGACTGTCCGCGCGCGCCTCGAGCCCAGCGTGGCGCTGCGCCGCCGCGACTTCGAGAGCCGCGCCGCGCGCCGCACCGCGCGCTCGCTCGACGTGCACCCGCACACAGGTGACGTGACGCGCTCTACACACAACCGCACCGGCCGCACCGACTGTCCGCGCGCGCCTCGAGCCCAGCGTGGCGCTGCGCCGCCGCGACTTCGAGAGCCGCGCCGCGCGCCGCACCGCGCGCTCGCTCGACGTGCACCCGCACACAGGTGACGTGACGCGCTCTACACACAACCGCACCGGCCGCACCGACTGTCCGCGCGCGCCTCGAGCCCAGCGTGGCGCTGCGCCGCCGCGACTTCGAGAGCCGCGCCCAGGGCTTTGATTCAACACCCCAATATACAATATTTATATTGGACTATTACTGTTTACGATATTATATCCTTTTCAAAATTCACATTTTTAACTAGATACCTATATACTTTTCACAGAACTAGAACATGATACGACAACCCTTGGCGGCAGTCTGTCAGGAAACCAGTTGATGATCACAGGAAGCAAACACCTACATTGTCCGCCTCCAGAAGAATATGTGCCCGGTATGCACTATATTATTTGTAGAGATTCTTTAATCTTTATTTCCATATATATATCAGTTAACAATATGTCTATTTATAAATTACATAGGAATATTTCATCTTATAACATGAAAAATAGCATCCATTGCCGAACTAGGCCAAAACCTGTATTTCAGCAAAAAAGAGATTTTAAGTTGATCATAGATTTCATACTAATTTGCAATTGACAAAAATTACAATTGCTTTTCCTTTTCTTAATTTTTATTCTATTTTTACAGAAACGGAAAAAGTTCAAATGCGAACTAGGTCAAATAGCACCGGAAGCGAAGGATTACCCATTAGAAGACATCATGCCACAGGTAAGATAATATAACTTTCTTTTTTATTATATTATATTTATTTAAGTATGATTACGTTCTTACAAAAAGTCTTAATTTTTTTTTTTGTGGTTTGCATTATATATGTTTTATTAAAATGGTAGGTAAGTTATTATTGGACCCTGATAAAATCATACTTTACACATGCTTTGCTGCATTTTCACAAGTTTTACAAAATGGAAACGTACAATATTAATTTAAAAAGGGCTTAAGGTGGCAAATATATTTAGGTACAGTTCACCAACAGATTACGTTTTTAATTATACTTTTGACAGTGGTATGGCTGGAAATAGTTATTCGCATTGATTTACGTTTATCATACGTTTTATCTAGTAAGCTATTTATGTAAAATTATCAGTACCAGTCGTTTTATTTACACTATTGATGTGCAGTTCTGGTCATCTCTTTTTATTTATATAAAAGCTAAATAAGTTAAATAAAAATTTAATTTGTATAATACTGGCACTAACAATGAACCTTGGGGTACTCCCAGACTGTTAATGTAAAGTTATAACTGTGTACTGTAGTTTTTTTACGATAAAACGTAATCTATTGGTGATACGGCCTAGCACAAAGCTCGCTTCATGGGTTCACCCGTGACCGTTGAAGATGCAACAAATGCCATTTGACGCGGCCGCTTATCTAACGGCACTGTTACGCCCCCCAAAGATGGCAGTCACGCGAAGCGACGTATGGGGCTGAACAGGGAGCAAATGGAGGAGATGAGCCGCGTGTCGCTGGGCGGCGCGGGGGTGGCGGGGGCGGCGGGGGCGGGCGGGGCGGCGCGCCCCACGCACTTGAGCCTGGCGCCGCGCTCCCTCTCCACGTCGGCCGCCACCTCGCCCTCGCCCACGCCCAGCACGCCCCACGACTCAGGTCCCACGCGATGGCCTATGCCTTCTTTGTACGCTCCCAGTCCCGGTAACTCCCTCCCCTCCAACTCCTTTGCCCCTATAATTTATTTCTTATTTACCTTAATAAACCTTATTTTGTTTTCCCGTATCCCTTTTGACGCAAATCGAGCTATCGCTTTTTTTACTTTTAATACGAATCCAGGTACTAATAAGTAATAACGTATCGGTTTACATTATATTATTCTGTTTTAGTCTGTTTATACAATAAGCGTAACATATTGGAAATAACATCCAAAATTAATATCATAAAAAAATTCGCATAATGCGATTCAAATAAGAATAAGAATGTCAATGACTGCGTCCTGTCAATTGTCTCTTGAAAAGTACGGTTTGCAAAGAAAATTAATTTTCCACTTTTTTATTAATACTTTTGCATTTTATAATACATTTAACTAAGTCTTAGTATTACATAATCTTTTGAAATCATAATTACTTTTAAAAATAAATTAATACTATTTTTCATAGTTGGCAACATTTAACCAAAAAGTAAATTAAAAAATTAAATAGATGAATTAAATAAAAAAAATATTAATTTAATTATTGATGTGCTAGATTCCGATTAATATATTTTATTTTGCGGTTCTTTTGCATTTATTTGTAATGAATTATTTCGAAAATATCTGTTTTGCTCACCCTACCTAACCTGGTTTGACCTAGTTGAACCTCGTAAAACCTGGTTTGAATTGACAGCTATGACTTCACAATATGGCGTCTGGTCAGTCCCATTCTTATTTGAATCGCATTGTACTTAAACATTTAATTTTCACTGTTAATAGTACTACTAATATTCATAAAAAAAAATTACACGTATCTACTGTCATAATATCCCAAATTAACTCGATTTGCATCACACTCCAAATAAACCCCTTCGTAACACTTGTGACCCGACCTCTGGAGCGTTTTGTCATGAACTATCTTTCGCTAATCTCGGCCATATTAACGGAATGCATTTTGTGTGCTTCTAGGTGTGCTACTAATTACAACTAACCTTGCGTGTATACTCGGTGTTAATTGTATTAACAATAAATTTATTACTACCAATCTTTCTTAGGAAGCTTTAACGAACGATTCTTTGACAGGTTTTGCTGACGATCTGGTAACAAGAAGACAGAAGAAGGATGCTCAACTGGGCGGTTAGTACAACGTCTTTATTGTTATTATTATTGTGTAGTATTAATAGTGTTCTTATCTGGTTGCGCTGGGTAAATATATAAAAGAAAATGATAGATATATAAAAATATGCATAAGATATAGTATAATAATTAAATAAATAATACATAAATAAATAGAATAGAATAAGTTTTATTCAATATAGATTATTACATAATACTTATTGAAAGTATTTTTTTTAATACTGTTTTTAAACCAATAAAAAATCGTATCGTATAATTTTTGTACCTAAAAAAGTTAGCCGTACCGACCCTGCCAACTATCGGCCAATTTGAATTACTTCCATATCCTGCAAGATTATGGACCGTTTATTGAACGCCCACCTCATGGCATGCCTAGAGCACAATGATATCCTCAGTGATCGCCTGTACGGGTTTTGCTGAAATCGATCAACTGTGGGGACCTTCTAGCATATGCTACTCACATATGGGGCGAAGCCGAAACACTTGCTGTTTCCTTCGATGTTTCCAAGGCCTTTGACAAGGTTTGGCACGCTAGTCTATTGGGCAAGCTTTCAGCGTACGGCTTATCCCCTGGCCTGATTGTTTGGGTGAAGGACTTTCTGAGTGAACGGTCTCTCCGGGTCGTCGTCGGTGGCTGCTCATCCGATCCTATGGCGACTAACGCCGGTGTTCCTCAGGGGTCCGTTCTCTCCGCAACTCTCTTCCTTCTGTATATTAATGATTTGCTTATGCCCGGTTTCTATGGGTATGCAGACGATATCACATTGTGAAGAGATACCAACCAAGTGCTCGGGCCAGTCGGGATCAAATCCAGTCAGAAAGAGAGGCTATTGTTGAACATATGAATCTCACACTACAGGCAGTCTCCGATTGGGGCGATGCCAATCTCGTGAGATTTAACGCCCTCAAAACACAAGCGTGTCTTTTCACCGCTAAAAGGAGCTCGCTCACCCTGTCCTCAACTTTCCGGAATGTATCATTGGAGTACACTTACCGCCTTCAGTTATTAGGGGTTGAACTTACTCCGAACTTCAACTATGGGCGGTTTATTGGGTCCAGAGCCAAAGCAACTGCAAGGAAACTTGGTGTCCTTGTAAGGGTGCGGCGGTACTTCACGCCGGGACAGCTTCTTACCTTATATAAAGCGCAAGTCCGGTCGTGCATGTAGTACTAATGTCACATATGGGCTGGTGCTGCAAAATGCCATCTGGCAGCGTTGGACTCATTGGAGAGACGTGCTAAGAGGCTCATTAGTGCCCTTGATTTGGTTGAAAACAATCTTGTCAGCCTCGAGCACAGGCGCAGAGTAGCCAGTCTCTCTGTATTCTAAAGGATGCATTTCGGTGAGTGTGCGCAGGAATTATGCGCTTTAATTCCTCCCTCTCCTTTCCACCATCGGATGACCAAGCAGTCTGCGGGTCTTCATCCCTTTATTGTCGATATTCCACGCATTAGAACCAAACGGTTTGCTTCGTCTTTTGTAATGCATACAGCAAAGGAGTGGAATCATTTGCCGGCGTCTATATTTTCGTCCGAGTACAATCTGGGCGTTTTCAAGGCAGGAGTGAATAGGCTTTTGTTACGCTAAGACAGTGCTATTTACCATCTAAGGCTGCATCACCACTTACCACCAGGTGGGACTGTGGTCAAGCACTGGTTTATAATAAGTTAAAAAAAAGTATAACTTACTTTCACATTCGATAAACGACCGTGTATATTTATTAAAACAGAAGAAGAACGTGCCATGCGAAGGGTATCGTACCTGAAAGCTACATGGGGAGACAGGCTGCATTTAGACAGCGATGTGGAACAAGACTCTGAACATCTCTCTCAAAGAAGGTATAAAATCCAATATATTGTTACATGAAGCATCGACATCTGTTTCTTTCAACCACTTGTCTCTTATATGTTCCACTTTCGATTATGTTTATATTATAGTGGTAGAAATAAACAGATATTTGAGATATCCATTTATACTTGTCAAGTAGATTTGTTAGTTAACCTTGAAAGTCATAATATAAATTTAACATTGTTAGCATCCGTATGCCGATTAAAATAAGCATAAGACTTTCCCCAACTATCCTTATTTTATATTTGTGTTGTAGATAGACTCCAGAATACATTTGTTTAGTTAGTACGTAACCTTACATTTATGTCTACACCTAACATTTGTTTTGTACACATCAAACGTTTCTTATCTTGTTAAAATAATAAAATTAAATGGATACTGGACATGAAATTGGACTTCATATTATTATGGTTTGCAACAAACGCAGTTCATATCGCAAGTGGCGCCCTCCTCGTTTCACGGACGACATAACGCCGCTGCTGCGAATATTCGACCCCAATGCAACACTCCCCGTCCGGTATGTTGCATGGCGTCGCCGCTAGATGGCGCTTAAGGGTGTGCAATAAAATTTCACTACATAATAGATGGCGCTGTTAACGATTAAGCGTAGAAAAAAAATTACAAAATTTTAATGATGAAGTTTTATAAGTTAATCCTAAACAGCCTTGTAAATATACTCTTTGGAGCCCTGCATTGCATTTGCCTTCATTGTGCTAGTTTGTAAACGGAAAAGCTACCCTTCTAACATCACAGATTCGTTATACAAAATGTCGTTACTGGAATAGATTTTCTGCTTATTTTAAAACAAGTTTAAAATTCAATGACATTGTTTAAAAGAACACAAGATTTTTGTGTGTATTAATTAAATTGCATGCAGTAATTATTTAGGAGCATTTTTGCATTAAGTGTGATATGATAATATACTTTAGCGTATGTTTGTGGCATGTTTGTTAGTTGTCGTCTTTTGTGTTCATTGAGATAATTTTTTTGGTTCTGCTAATAATTTAAGAAGTGTAATGCTGATTTATAAGAATATACATCAGCTTGTTGCAGTAAGTATACAATTTTTAAATGTATTTGTCTTTTTTAAGCTTAGATTATATTCAGGTATGTAGAATGAATCTTTAGCGCGGTTAAGTCAAAACATTTTTATTATATTTTAATTATTGTTATTTATCAACAAATATCCGTAAAGAATTACGACGCTTTATAGAAAAATAAGACGTTTTGTGACGGTTTAAAAGGATCGACCACCTTCCACCTCATATTACCCCGTGTGTGTCATAAGAAATTAAAAATCGACTGAGAGAAATGAAACAGGGAATCGGCAGCAACATTTCCTATTGGCAATTTTAAAAAAAATTGCGGTTGCAAACCAACCTGTCAAGCGTCACTGCACACACACATATGCTCACTATCCGGCAATTTTGGTGAGGTCTGTGTTCAGCAGTGGAATTTCGATAGGCTGTAATTAATGATGAATTAGTGATAGAAAATCAGACAGGATGTTTTAATCAGTGGCAGTACCATCGCAGTTGCACTACTTATGCTGTTCTGCATCACCAGTATACTATATTTTAGGTTGGACATATTTGAATGGATTGTGTTATATTATCGCCGATTGGGGTGTGAGGGAAATTGACATGAAATGAATGAGCGACACCGCGAAAAAATGCACCTCCTTTCATCGAATAGTATAAGAGTATGACACTACTAACGAAACTGGAATTTTGATATAGATAAATTCATGTCTTTATCTTCAATTTGCTTGTTCAAAAACACGATTGTAAAATTTTGACTCGATCATAATTATTTACGAAAACACACAACGAAATTACTTAATCTATATGTTTGGGAACCACTAAAGTATATTCATAACATCAATATTCGTAATCTACTTGCTCATTATTTTGATTACTAAAATCAATAATTTATTAAAAATATTTTAAGATTCTAAGCGATTTCTAAGCGGTCTGAATCGTCGCGGGCGCTACGCAATTTTAGACCTTATGACGGCGATTTTTGAAGTTTTTATAGAAATTATGTTTCACTTGGGTCAGTCCGGCGATAGCCCGTTTCAACGGTTTTCGATGTGTCGCCTTAATCGACGCGTGACTATAACTAAGAGTACGTGTACGACGTAACTAGTTGGAAATATTATAATATAAGTAATTGATATCGCTATGGCCATTGTTTTGAAGTTGTAGGATATCATACAATAAAAATGTCACAAAGATTAATTGAGTGCATTATAGTTAGAAGATATTTTATGATATAGTGCGGAGAAACAAGGAGAGGAGGGTGTGGAGGAGGGCGCGAGCGAAGCCGAGCCCGATGTGCAGGGACACGTGCAGGTCAAAATGGTGGTCAGCAACGGAAAGGTACGTGTATTTATATTTGCATTTAATTTGAACTAATATATTTACTTAAAGCAAAGCCTTTAAATTAAGTACTAACTTACTGGTCTACCTGATTTTAATTTTTATCTGGAGTTAATTTTGACGGCTCCGTGGCGCAGTTGCTTAGCAACGAATTAAGGCGCTAATAGTCGCGGTTTTAAATTCCGCATAGAATAAGTATTTGTATGGCCTACAAATAATTGTTCCGGGTCTGGAAGTTTGTCCTTGTGAAATGTATGTATGTAAACTGCCCCTGTGATGCAGGAGAAAACCTAGTGTGGAGGTAACGCTTTAAAAAAAACGAAATAACAAAAAATATTTGATCTTATCTCAGTACTTAATATTTTTCTGCCGACTTCCAAAAAGGAGACAGTACTAAATTCGACTGTATTTTTTTATGTGTGTTACCTCATAACTTTTTACTGGGTGAACCGATTTCGATGATTTCTTTTTTTATTTGAAATCTGGTACTTCTCGTGTGGTCCCATATGAATTTGATTAAGTTCAGACCAATAGTTTTTGAGTTGTTCTTAAGAACTTATATTGAAGTCGGCTGTACAAAAATTTTAATTATATAGAACGTTGAGAACAGTGTGTGTCTAGAAGTGGATAAAATAGCGGGGTGGATTTTCTTACGCCACCACCACGGCACACTTTAGTATGTGTAGCAGAGTTTAGTATTGACTAGTATTTAGAGTGGTCGTCTAAAACAAAACGTACTGTCCACAGCGCGCCAGCGACAGATCGTGGAAACAAGTGTGGGCGGTTCTGCACGGGACCAAGCTATACCTATATAGGCACCATCCTAGTCAGGTACGTCGTTCGAACTAATTCTTAACTTATATCGTACATCGATATCGTTGGGTTACTGCTTATTAAACAAGTATTTTATTTTTAAACACAGGTCCTTACTTATTATCGATGGTTATCACTTGCTTAAATTAAGTATTAATTATCTTCTCGACAATTCTCTCTCTGTATGTTTAGTGAAGATATATATATATATAATAATAATAATAATAATAAATATCTTTATTTGACACTTCTATTTCATACAACATCATTGAGCCCTGACTCCTAAACTAGGATACCCTGTATTTCAGGAGTCAGTTCCTTCCTATTCAGTAACACTTTGTGTCGATAATACATTAGGAAATGTTGATATATTACTTAATACTCTGTTTAATATATACGTGTGTGTGTGTGTGTGTGTGTGTGTGTGTGTGTGTGTGTGTGTGTGTGTGTGTGTTGTGTGTGTGTGTGTGTGTGTGTGTGTGTGTGTGTTAGTGAGTGAGTAGTTTGATTGTTGCACTGCACATAAAGTTATTCGTATGGAGCTATTAAGTTTTCGCATTGATCGTAGTCATATTCTTTAAGCCAATTATACAACATACTTTTGAATGAATGATTTGAAGCCTTTCTTGTACACACTGTTTTATTTAATATATTATATAACTTGGGAGCTAGGTAATATAATATATAATATATATAATATATATATATATATATATATATATATATATATATATATATATATATATATATATATATATTACAGTTTGACAGTTCTGCCGTTCATATTTTTGTTATGCTGGCTTTACGGGGTAGAAATTTTTTCAAAATTTAATTTTAACAAATATTACTTGTAAGTACACAACAAATCTAATTAACCTATTGTGTATTTCTTATTACGTATAACAAATTCTTCAGAGCCCTTCAATTTCAATTGGTTGATACAAATTATTTTATTGCAATTTTGCACATTTGTTAGAATATTCTTTGTGCTAAACATATAATGTAATTTGTTATTAGCAAGATGCCAGATTTGAAAGAAAGAAAGATATGCGCTTATTCCAGTATAAGCATGCAGCACAAGTAAAAAGCAATTACGAGGGCGACACTGAAAGTTTTTAGAACTGGCCACTTGTAAACGATATAATAAAAAATAAGTTAAATTTTGAAAGCGGAACTCTTTGCCAACATTATTGTATAATATGTATATTATTAATTTGTCATTTGTTTACGATTTGGCGGCAAATTGAAAATGTTTCAATTTCTCTATTTCAATTTTGTTATTTTACATTTTAAAATATTGCAAAATGAGCCAGGATTTAGTAAAAATTAAAGTGTCAAACCGCTCGTTGTCTATGAAACACAGTTAAATTACAATCGTTAAATTTAGAAATAATTGTTTTAAATAATTATACCTAGATACTACAAACCATATTAACTAAAATTTTTGTGTTCATAAAGTACAAAGCTATGTAAGGGAGGCGGCATTTATTTAAAATTTCCTCTGAATGCAGTAGACCGGTTGAAAGGATATACAAATTTTTGATTAACTGATCTGAGATTATGTATATTATTGTGACCTTTGGCCCAATCAAGCTTATTCTAAAGATATGCTTGTTCTTTGTTTTTTACTATACCAAACAAAAGAGTGACAAAGTGTTGTCGTCAGCGGAAGTCCATTTTTATTATATTTTTTATGATTTGACCTTTATATTATAGTTTTTAAGTGTTTTCTACTGATTTCAAAAAGGAGACGGTACTCAATTCGACTGTATGCTTTTTTATGTATTATAACTTTTTACTGGTTGAACCGATTTCGAGGATTCTTTTTTATTTAAAAGCTGGTGCTTCACATGTGGTCCCATATAAATTTCATCAAGGTCTGACCAATATATTTTGAGTTATTCTTAATAATTTATATTGAAGTCGGTTGTACAAAATTTTAAATTCTTTTTGTACAACGTTGTACAAAATAAACTATATTAAATTGAGCTGTAGACGTGGAATTTACAGCTATTGTTATATGGACTGTTGATGATATTTGGTAAAGAGGAAGTGTTTGTTTAAAAAATATTTGCATTCGTTGTATTATTACAAAGTGTGTGCAAATATTTTCAACCCGGCACTTAGCGAATAATGTAATCGTATTAGTGGAATTCACTAAAAAGTTATTTGATTATACTGTTTTCCTAGGTCAGGTACACAGAAACATTGCTAATATATGTGTTTCACACCTTTACGGTGTTTCAATGTAGATTTATTTGACATATTATTTAATGATATTATTTGACATACAATGCAAATTAATACAAATAAATACTAATTTAGCGGTTGTATATGCCTTATGAATAACAATTTCTCGACTTGAAGGTTAATATAAGTGAATATAATTACTGTACAAAATATATAACCCTAGTATTAAAATTCATCACGCGTGAACCAAACTAGTGTCGTGCGGCACGTATCGTCGATTTTTTAATCTCTTTCTAGATTTTTTTACTTTTTGGTATATATGAAATCTACCTTGTCTCATCATTGTAACATTTGGAATGGGCAAGGTGCTTAGTGAGTGATTTTAACAGCACTATGTATGTCATATTCATCCTAACCAAAGAATCAACCTCTGTATCTCGACGTAGAACCTTGTAGTCATAAAAGACAAGAGGACATCACTATAATACTTTAACACCCTTTGTTGACATCTCATTGAATTACCGACCGAATAACTTACCCAAGTTTAAAAATATCAACAGTCAAAATTACCCTCATGCTTAGAAATTCTAATAGATCCCTTAACAAGATAATAACGAATAACTTTCCGCCCGCACGCCAAAGGCGCACCTGGCTACCTTTGCGCGCCTGAGAGCCTAAGCGGTTTCTTTACTCATGTGCCCTATGTCTATGCAAAATTAGGGCAACCAATATTAAAAAGAGACAGTATTATTTCAAGTTATTGTAAACCTTATTTTGCTATCACTATCACTTTTATTATTATTTATTTATTGATGTCTTTGAAAAGGAAACATCAATTATGTGTATATAACTTGTGTGCCATTGTTCGACTGCCTCGTTGTGCTAGCTAATGCTGGACATGTGGTCCCAACTTAGAATTCCGGAAAAACCAAAATCATTTATTAGGTTTTTCTGTGAAAAAATTCGCAGGTGTTTCACTCCCATAACGCGGAAAGCACTTAAAACCGGTGGTCCTGCCTTTACCTCATTCTTTTATAAAATATCATCGTAAGCATCAATCTATGAAATCAAAAACTTAAGTCTTATTAAATTACTTCATCGTCTTCATCCGTCGGCAGCAGTCCTATGCCCAGTTACTGGACATAGGTCCCGTTTAAAGCATGCTACTAAGCCCACTTTTCGGTTGGACCACTTAAATACCACGCAAATAACTAGTCTCAATTTCATATCTTCTGAAAAAAAGTAATTGTTATCGAGAAATGTAGATGACAGTAATTTTTTTAACTAATAGTTTTCGCATTTACTCGTAATATGATGCGATTTTAGAATAACAAAACAAAATAACATGAGCAACAAAATATAACTTCAGTATGGTGACAAAGCATAAACTTTAAATATATACCTTAATATATTATAGCCAGTTATAATCGTGTTATTTAATTTTTAGGGTTTAAAAAATTGAAAAAAAATTGGATAGCATAACAGCAGTAGTTTGGCCAACTGTAAAAGTAACGGACAATACCGCGAGCCGCGACATGCGTCAGTGCGAACACCTGGCTATCTCATTTTGTATCTCAAATTTAATACGTTATCTAAGACATTAAAATAAAAGGCATAAAAGTTTTTGAATGATACAAAAATTTTAATTTATTCACATTTGCTAAACCTGGTTCAAAGTGGGTTGTGTTGGGAACGTTATGTTTGTTTTAGTAATTCAATTACAAATGGTACGTGTATACATTATTTATTAATCTATACTTACAATTTAAATTCATTGTCACATATCAAAGTCCTTTTTTATATCAGACATTACTTTGGAAAGTTTTTTATGTTTAGTATGTATTCAACAGGATTTTTTGCAATTTCTCATATAGAGACTCAGCAAAAGTTATATTGTTAGCCGTAAATGGATAGTTTTGTCATATAATGTCAATAATATGTTGATAAGCTTGTACAATAACAACACGAAACAAATTATAGATTATGAAAAAAAAATTCAGATGCCAAAAAAGTCCATAAGGCACTTACGCTAATTTATTAGAGTTCCATTACATTCGAAAGAAGCGATAAAATAGGTGTCATCACACCACACCCACACATCCCTCAAACCGAACAAACAACGTTACTATGTCGGCAATTGTGGGAGGTGTGACTGCAGAAGGTTGTTAAGAACGGCATTCGCTCGCTTTTAAATCATGCAAAAACAAAGCAAGAGATAGTTACGCGATTAAATCGTTTATTTGATGCACTTGTGCATCATTTTTCTGTAAACGTTCGCGATAAAATGTAACTAGCAATTCTGAATCTAATTGTTATAGATTCGGCTCATCCGTGACATGTTCAGCGCTTGTAGTTATTCTACTTTTACTTTCTTAACTTTCTCTGACGTTAAGATATATTAACCAATTAAGTGCTTCTACGAGTATAGGATTAAAGTAATTGTGTTGCGGGCACAGGTATGCCGAAAAGCAAATGCAAAAGTTTCACGCAATAAATTGGGTGATTAGAAAAATTTCGGTTCTGAAGTCGAGCACTTTCTTAAAATTATCATTACCTACTTCTAATGTAAATCCTAATTTCACTGTTCAAAACTAGGAACACATTTGCTTGGCAATGTCAAAGTAAATATTGTAAACAAGTAAATATGTGTTGCTTTATCAGCCTCTCATCGATCGATCTCTCATAGATTAGCTTAAATTATTAAAATAGCAGCTTAATGCTGCTGTGTTTCGTATGGTGGGTGTAGAGAACCGGAGACCCTTTTTACTGGAAAAGAGGTATTGTATCTTAGTCCTCACGGCTGACAACGCATCTGCATTTTAATTCGA